AAGAAGCAAGTACAACACATTCACTCCTTTGTTTTCCTGAGAGAAAACTGCTGTGACAAATAAAAAGGAGGAATGTGTCCATTTATGTCTATCAGCACTGCATTACAGATGATATCACTATGCCATCATGTGTGAATTATTATTGTGCACAAATACTCACAAGTGACATGTGAAAACTGATCAATATTGCAAGATGCACTATAACTGAACAAGAATCAACAATGCTTGAACAAGATCAATAATTTTGAAGAAAGAGACCTTAAGTTTGAACTAATACAGTAGAGCCTCGAAAACTCGGCACTCGATAACCCGACACTCCAGATAACTCGGCCACACCCTGGCAGGGCAAAAAAATCCTTAGTTAATTAATTTTCATTATAGACAGCTTTATGCCTCAAAGTATTTTTCTGAGGGCTGTCTTATCAAGTAAATTACTGTACATAGCGTATTCATTAATTTTCATTTTCATGTAGTAAAGGCTCTACGCCTTCATAAAAGATGTACTTTTCCTTTGTTTAAGGGTACTTGGGCAGTTTATTCCGTTGTATTCTCAAACAAACAATACATACAAGTACAGTACAATATTTTCTGAGGAAACACGCATACTTATCCTTTTTTAACCCCATTCCCGATAACCCAGCATTTTCACAAACTCGGCACCCTTCAGTCCACATTAGGCAGAGTTTTCGAGGCTCTACTGTACTACCATAATTTTATGTGGCCAATCTGGCAACATAAGCCTGATGTTAGTGCACAAGATAGGACAAGTTTTGCCCAAGAGGTAAGTAGTGTCTTATGCAATAACATCCTTATTCATTGAGAATTTCCATTATTTTGCTCCAATACTAGAACTGACTTGTCTCATTGTAGTAAGTCAGAGACACCATTCACATCTCTGTAATATCTGTATTGCCAAGACAAATCACATTTTTTTCCTTTTTAAAAACCAACCTTCATGGCTTCAATGTCTGTCTCAGTGAATTTTTTGAGTTCATAATTGTAACTACAGTTTGTAGTTTGGTGTACTTTTATTCAATGCTCATTGTTTGTCATAGGAATAACATTAAACAAAGTAACATAAAAAAGAGCCAAACATACTTCAGGAGAAACAGAGGAACTGTGGTTGTACAAAACATTTAAGAATGTGCTAATGACACCAATGCTAATCAATCAATAAATCTTAGTCCATTAGGTAGATCTAATGTGTAATATTGTTTGTAAAAAACTGTTAAATTATTTTAATTTCTGTTACACAACCTAATCATAATAACCTGTCATTTTCAACCCTGCAGGATTGAACTGTGACTGTGGCAAAAGTACTGATATTAATGATATCATAAAAAAAATAGCAACCTAAGAAAAGGAATCAAACTTAACAATGATGATAAGTATATCCCACACAAACAGGATTCCTTGATATAAAAAAATGACTCAAATGATTATATCAGTGATGTTGCAAGAACATCGAGACATGCATTAAAAATGTCAACACTGAGCAATTCACTAGCCATAAACCTTGACACCAGCTGTTATCAGCTCAATTTATCAGTTGACATACCAGACAATGCTACTTTCAGAAAATGATCAAGCCTCAAGAAAGAATTGCAAAAGGAGAAAAAAAATGCATGCAACTAGTAAATCCTATATTGTCTAGAGTGGACTATGATGAAAGTTACCAAAATTGTGTCTTTATATGCAGCAAGAAATTTTAGGACGATAGAAAGCCATAACTTGTTTTTGAAGGTTGCAGAAAAGCACACAAGACCAACAATTTATAGCAGACCACATCCAAACAGAGGTATCTAAAAGACACACTTATTACAGTAGTCTCCAGAAAGAAAAGTGCATATTTCTCCTGTTTAGGTATGTTTTGCAAATGTACACAAAAATGTCATTTATTCATTCTTCTCTGTTCTGAAAAAAATTTATCAGAGTTTACCTAACAAAATCAAATGAATTTGAGGCTGTCTTTCCCGATAAGTTAAGTAAACAATCCTCCAACAAGATGTCTGAACAAAGAATTAGTAAAGCAAAAATTATATTCTGTCATTTCCATAGTCAAGTGACATTACTGCTGTTAGTCCTCCTCCAAGAAATACCTTTTGGCTGATCTCATCATCAGCAAAATGTACAAATTGTACCAACAGCATTGCGCACAAGACAAACACTCCTATATTACTTATAGTGTATAAAAGATACAGTGATGCCTCGTATAACGTACACCTTGAATAACGGATGCTGCGAACAACGGACTTTCTGTTTGGCCATTACGTGACTCGAGCAACGGACTGGCTGCAAACAATGGACTTTCTGCGAACAAGTGCAAACGATGTTTCCACTCTTTTGCCATTGCCAATGACAATCTGCTATTTTTATAATATATTAATATTATTAGAATATATTATTAGTATATATGAAGTACAGAGCTCCTGTTGGGATTTGGCTTGCTCCCTTGTTTATTACATACATCACCTCAGTGCATTTATTCAAGTGTTGTGCAAATCATGGCTTCTAAAAAAACAAAGGTGATTTCAATTTTAATAAACCAAGAAATCATCAGAAGAAGTGAAAGTTGACAAAAACTTCCTTGTCAAATGGGGAAAGGTTCAGGAGTTTACCAACACTCATTATCCAAACACAGTTTAGGCCAACAGGATCAATGATCTCTACAATGACACCTTGCCTGTCATTTCCGACAGGTGTTAAAGAAGAGAGAGAAACAGACCGTCTTCGACACGTTTTTCAAGAAGCCAGTTGCCAAAATACAAAGGATGGAACAAGAGGAGTTGACCCTGCAAGCCCCAGTAGCCTCTCCTGAATCTGACTCCGATTAAAAAACAATAAAAAGAGACCTGCTGTAATGTGTAAAAAATCTGTATCTGTATGAATGTGTGAATAAAGTGTTCCTCCACCTCACAACATCTGACTACCCTGCATAATTGGTGAATGCTACATTTTCATTTTTTTTTTATAGTACAGTATGGTTATTTTATGCTGCGGAATGAATTATATGTTTTAACATGTATTTCTATGGAAAAACACGTTTTGTATAACGGACTTTTCACTTAATAAACGTGCACCTGGAACGGATTAAGTACATTATACGAGATACCACTGTACTTCTATTCCTATAATCTTACTTTTCATATGACCAAAAAAAATTGATGTGCCAAGTGTCTGTAATTTGAGGGACTTACTGATGCAGAAAAAGCAGCAGAAAATTGAGAGCATCAAAGCAATATGAGTAGAAGAAACATGCATTTAAAGCTGCTAAAGACAGATCAAGACATCACAATTCTGAATTTTGATTTATAAGAAGTTCTCTAATATCCCAAGGGAAAGGTCACTCCTATATCTTGCAAGAGGAAACTCTCAGGGTGTGACTAGCAGAGGTAAGTGAGTGAATTTTCTGAGAGAGGAAGAATATGTGGCGAGAAGAGGTGCGATGCAATAAATATCAAACCCCGTCAGATATGTGTGAGAACCAGAAATTCGCTCTTGCCAGTGATATTTCTTGCTTCTCACTTGTGCATGGTTTTCCTTTGTGAGAACTATATTGCTCACAACCTCTCACTCTCTACTAAATTCACATCTGCATAGTTGCACCCTCAGTCTAAAATCTGACTATCTATGATATGATCAGCCAAAACAGCATTTGCAATATTTGGGATAAAACAGAAGGCAGATATGGTTCATTGATATTGCAACATATGTCTTTAAACATATTAAAAAAATTGAACTGAAGAAAATATTCTTACTTAGTGACTTGTGGTGAGCAAAATAGAAATCAGTTCTTTGCCACAGATTCTCTACAAAATTTGTCTGTTGAACTATGAAAACACTAATCATGTATTTTGTGAAAGTATTCATTCTCAATTCCATGCAATTAATCATTAAACAGGCAAATAAAATGTTACAGTATCCATTCTATCTGAATGTGACATATTTCGCCAGATGTCTTGTAAAAACCAATAGTCTTATAGTCATTACCTTCCACCATACAGTTTCTTAACTGGAAAAAAAATGCACCAAAATTGAAAGAATATGCAGTGGTTGCCAAGTACATTGGTTGAAATACCAAAAGAGTAATCCAAACACCATCTTCTTTAAATATGACTATGATAATGAATTCCAAGAATCCAATGTTCAGACTGGTCCAGTAAGAAGGAAGAACAGGTGTGGTGAACAGAACCTGATGCGTACTGTAAAAGCTTTCAAAGTAAACTGTGCAAAATACAAAGATATGATGAGATTCTGTCATACTAAAGTAATACCAGTGCAATATTAAAATTATTTTGAGAAACTGCCGCATGTCACTCTGCTAATCAGGTTTCTTCAGAGAACAATGACATTCCTTCTCAACAATAACAAAGAAAGACCACTATGCAAATGTAATAGAGTTAATGTTTTGAACTGGAATTTTAATATATAATAAAGGCAAATGTGCATTTTTGTCTTTAAAATCTTGAGTTTACCAGAACAACTGTAACACTAATAAAATGGTCTAATACATCAACAGTTGTGACAGGAAGCATGTCGATGTGTACCTAATACACTAATTTTACCATAGTTATGAAAAATGCAAAAATTTTATTTAATTTGCCTCTAAAATGTTTCCACCCTTTTGACAGAATGCTGATGATATAATCACAAATATTTATTCAATTTCATATTATGAAAATATGAGTAATATTTTTAATTGAAAAGCATGAAATCAATAGTCTCATTGCAAAAATTCTTATTTATTCAGAATAAGCATTCCAAAACAACAAAATTCTGAGAAATTAATTTTAAGGAAAAAATTGATTTTTTGTTTTTGCTTATGAAATTTAGAACTTTTTCTATTATTTCAATTGCTAATGCCAAAATATCTTTAACAAATTTTATGTTCTTTTCTAAAATATTATTTCAACATTAATATATTCATTTAGTATATGGCATTTCAAAATTTTCTTTATCTATTTATTTAATCTGTTATCATTAGTATTATATTAGTTTACCTCTTTCATTATTAAATGTGCGTTAGTGGAACTTGTTTGTAATATGCTTTTGGATTTACGGTTCTTTTTTTTAAGTCCTTTTGAATACGATGAAGTAACTAATGGAATATTAATTGGTGTTGATGTAACTGAATGCAATTTAGATGGCATAAGATGAGCACAAGAAAATAATACATTTTCTGGAATAGTAGAATCTGCTGGTGAATCTTGCTTTTTAATACATAAATCCAAAGGAACTACAGATGTCTCTGCTTCTTGATTTCCTGTCGTTACTTTACAGGGTGAACCAGAAAATAGAACAGATGATGCTGAATGAGCAGGACTAGGTATAACATCAGATGTTACCATAGTATTCATTCCTGTTCCAAATGAATTAGCTTTATTTCCATGATTTTTCTTTCCCTATGAAAAATAAAATTTTAATTGCAAAATACCATCATGAAAATTTTTCAGATACATTGAGATATTTAAATAGTTCAAATTACATAATCAAATTTAAAGATTCTGTAACACATTCTAACAAATTCTGTTTGTACTCTATATAAATGTAACATTAAAGACTTATGTGAGAAAACAAAAAAAAATTTTTTTAGCTACAATATGTAACTTTATTATTATTTGATTTCTTTAATACTGCTCTGATAAGACTAAAAAAATTTTAACTGCATACAATTTATATGAAAATGTTTTCCAGAAATTTGTTTCAATATATAATTCATCACCTCATTGATAAAAAGTTTGTTGAATTATTACATTTTACAACTATGAATCCATTATTTCATTGCAAAATGTTTTCAACTGCTATAAAAATTCTCAAAACAGATTAATAGAGATTTAATAATAAAGACTTCTAATAGCTATATTTAATCATCAGCAACATTTAAAAGATTAAATTATTTCTGAAATTTATGAATGTCTGTCTGTTTAAGAAAAAAATATGAATCATTCATCCTACAGAATAATAATGTAATATTTCTGGGCATAGCTATTAAACATTACAAAGTTGATGAGTTGAATAATTATACTATCATTAGTATAATTATTAAACTCAGCTACAGAACATTAAATGATTTAGCTGTTCAATTGAAGATCAAGTAATCTTCATAGTATTGATGTAAAGAATAAAATTTTCATAACAGCATTATAAAATTTCGTAAAATTTTCATTTTCATTTTCAGAGATAAGTTTATGATACAGTAGAGCATTGTTTATCTGAAAGCCAGTTATCTGAAACGTCAATTAACTGAAAGCATTCCAGTCAGCAAATTTAAATTTTCGTTAGTGCTGTGGCGCTGCAATATTTGGCTCTATCTTGGGCTACTCCAATATTTTTTTTGTTGGTGTGTTTGTTTTAGCTGGCAGCACTGGCACTTTTGTGTGGTGTTTTTCTGAGGACTGTGTGGTGCTGAATCGAACATTTTTGATACTAAATTAACTTCTAAAGTATAACATTTTTTGTGTTTTTATATTTTTTAATATATTTATTTTGTTTGTAAAAAATAAAGAAATTATTTTTAATGATACAATAGCCACAATTATTATTTTAAAAAGTTTACGTTAGGCTTAACATCGACGAAAATTCAATGCGAAGTGACACACAATGGCAAATTTCAACATGGGATAGGTTAATATATTTTTCGTACATAATCGATTATCCGATAAATAAGTTATCCAAACAACCTCAGTCCCCAATTGATTTGGATAAATGACGCTCTACTGTATTTCAATATTTAGATATAAAAGAATATAAAATTTTCATTAAAAATAATAATTGTTGTTGACTGCAAAAATTTGGAAATATTTTTGATTCTGTCTATTCAATGACTCTCATGTTAATCTATTATAGTTTTCAAGTTTGTTTTGATGCCATATTTACTTATTTATAAATTTTCATCTGTTTAATCGATTAAAAAAAGGAAACAGAAATCCCAAAATAAAAAATAACCAAGTTCAAATTCTTTAAAACAATTTACTACCATAAATAACATATAGACTTATTTTTGAAGTGTTTCAAAAAACAGATTTTTTTGAAGAGTTTCACGCCAGTTATTGGTTAATTGTAGGTTGTTGTGTGTTCTGATTTTAAAATTGCTTGAAAGCTTAAAATTCGATAGCTGTTGTATTTGATTTCACCCCTGACGATGGTAACTTTATGCTACTGAAAGTACTAGAGAACATTCTCATTTTTAAAGTTTATTTTGGTAAATCTGCAACACTTAAGTGTTATTACTATATCTACAAGAGTTGGCATGAAGTGCAAGTTATTTTATAATGTAAGAACTTTGTTACTTGTTTAATATAACAAAGTTCTTCCATTCCTTTTCTTACTAACAAAAGACAAATATTTAAACATTATATGAGATTATTCACATGTTAAAAAAGTAAGAAATGCATTAAAATACAGTGGAACCTCGGTATACGTCTGCTTTAGAATATGTCCAATTCGGAATACGTCCTGTTTGGACGAAACAAATTTTGCTCGGTATACGACTTTTGTTCAGTATACAACTTAATTCAATTATACGCGCCATCTATCAACAAGTAGCACTATCGCTGTACTACACTAGACTAGACATTTGCAGTGCTACGGTTTATAACTTTGTTAAATTTCTTCTGATTTTAATTTGTAAGTAACATTTTATTATTTTTATTAATCATGAATAGCAAAAGGGCAACAGAAAAATAAAAAAATGACTAGAATCACAATGGAACTGAAAAAGAGATTGTTGAGAAATATGAAGGTGGCATGCGTGTTCGAGATTTAACTGTTGCATACCGTATTCCAAGAACGACGATATCGACAATTGTGAAAAATAAAAACATTATTAAATTTGCTAACATTGCAAAAGGGGTTAAATCAATTTCAAAACAGAGATCAAAGACATTAGATCATGTCGAGAAATTGCTTTTGCTTTAAATAACTGAAAAACAGTGTGCCGGCGACAGCGTATCAGAAGAAATTATTTATGAGAAAGTTAAAAAGATACATGCTGATCTTATGAAAAATCAAGCAGAAACTAGCGAGGAAAGCGAGGTGTTTAAAGCCAGCCATTTTTTTACATGAAAATGGATTAATCATTTTTACATTACTTCTTATGGAAAAGGTTGGTTTGGTATACGTCCTATTCGGTATAAGTCCAAACACCAGGAACGGATTAAGGTCGTATACCGAGGTTCCACTGTAATTACAAAGTAGAAATTGTTAAACATAGTGCAAATCACATAAAAGATGTTTACTTCTAAAAAGAAAATACACAAAAACTAAAAGAATATGTGCATTATGTTAATAGTATTCTTAGCAAATTGAAGACAAGTAGTTATGTATTTGGTGACAAAGAATTAGCAATAATGACAACAATAAGACTGCTGCAAGATTACAAAAATCATTACTAACCTAAAACAAAATGAAAAAAATTTAACAAGACATAAGACAAGATTACTACTTTAAGAAAAATTCAATTCAAATAGAAATGATGATGAAATTCAATAAACAAAACCTGCTTCACTGAAGTTTCCTAAACTTTTTACCAGTACATATTTTTGGGCTTAGTTTAAGCCACCCTCAATGTATAAATGCTGTATTTTACTGCAAAATACAGCATTTATACATTGAGGGTGGCTTAAACTAAGCCCAAAAATATGTACTGGTAAAAAGTTTAGGAAACTTCAGTGAAGCAGGTTTTGTTTATCGAATTTCATCATCATTTCTATTTGAATTGAATTTTTATGCACTTCCAACAGCATACAGAACTCATTTTCATTATTATGCACATTCTACACTTGATTTAAATTTACACTAAGAATGGCATAAAATGAGTTTAAAAAAGGTTGAAATTAAAGTATTTTAGTGACCTTAGTTATGCAAATATAGTTAAAAATGTTCACTGGCAAGAAGCCCAATAATTAAAAATGGCAAACAATATTGATATTTTTTTACATATATATTTTTTTAAAAGTATATAATATTGTGCCATTTTTAATTATTGGGTTTATTGCAATGAACAGTTTAAACTATATTTGCATAATTTTACAGAAGTATAGCCTCTAAATAAAAAGTCATCTTTGTGAAGCAAGACTGATTCCTGGTAATTGAACAAGACAGATATTGTAAAGACATTTTAATATTCTTTTATATATATAAAAAATTGAAACATTTTGATTATACACTTCTAATATATATATATAAAAACAAAGTGTTTCAATTATAAATGGATGATGGATCCATTTTTAATTGAAACAGAGTATGACACCAAGATACACATATTTTTATTAAAATGAAATTAGAGTCCTACTTCCAAAAATAAACTAACTATATCAAACACCTGAATTTTTGCTGAGCATAAATTATTTTATTACTCAAATGTTTTCAATCTATTTGCTACAGGCCATCTTCAGGATTATTGTTCCAAAATGGAACACAACATTTTTTGAATACGTTTCATTTTTAAATTTAAAATTTACAATAAATTGTGTATATTAAATAAAAATTATAAATAAATACATTATATAAATAACTATAAAATAAAATAGCATTACTAAATAAACACAGTAAATAAGGCTAAGTATAACTATTACAAGTTTATAAGGGTCTTTAATCCCCATGTTACTTTCTATCATGCACTTCCATGCTGTTGGAAGTGCATTAGTATCCATGGCATTTAGGCAATTGTCTTTCATTTTACTTTTATATATTTCCATCTTTTCCATTTCTAATTCAATGGTTGGAGATCAGACTATTTTAACCATTTTTGCCTCATCCCACTTTACATTCACTCTTCCATCTGCACCATGATTGCCGAAGTGCCCATTATTTATGTTGTACTTGTGTTCTCATAGACATATTGCTAAGTTTCTTCTGGTTACATCCACACTTCTACTTTGCTACTCCTAACTCTTGATTTTCAAACAGTATTTATGCTCAGCAAAAATTTAGGTGTTTGGTATAGTTAATTGAGTTGCTGAGAAAGAGGTGGATAGTTCCAAAAATAAGTCAAAAACTCAAATATACTAAACATTACTGAGCAGAGAGGATATAATAGACTATTACAGGGGTGGCCAACCTGCGGCTCTTTGAATGATTATTTGTGGCTCTCGATAAATGTACCCGAGTTCCCTTTTCATTTTTGTGTTATTATATTTTTAAAAATTATTATCGTTCCGTATGTGTTTCAAAATGTCTTTTAAATTACTAACAACAAATATGAAAGACTAAGTGCAACGTTGTAACTAATTTCATTTCCGTCCAAGTTAAGAATGATATGACTCATCGAAAACTGCGCGAACGAACATAAACAGTGGCGTAATCGTCCATTATCGACCGACTCCAGACCGATTTTGAATTTGTAAACTATCATTGCAACAGACAGTTGACATTGTGCTCATGAGGAAACAATTTGTATCAC